ACGGCTGGGCCTGGCAGGAGTAATGGGAAATGTGAGTTCTACCTCAGAGCCCCCAGGCACCTTCCCCACCGTGTGTGCTGGGGGTCCAAGAGCATTTCCACAGCCTTTTTCGGGTCAGTTGCTGGAATGACGTTTGTGCTCGTGAGCGCTGGAAAAGGCAGACAGGAGGTTCTGACTGGACAGAAGGTTGGAAGGTGAGGGCCACAAATAGCTCCAGAAGGTCTCCAATGTAGGTTCCCAGGGCTGTGTTTGCTGGGGAGGAGAGCTGGTGTGCTGCTCCTCAGGTACCAAACACAGCACTCCCTCTGCTCCCGCAGACACCAACCAAGTGGAAACTCCGTGGGGTGTGTATTCCGGTCCCAGCAGATCAGTTTCCTCCTGTCTCATGGCAGGTTGAATTTCAGCATCAGCCCCACGGCCTGCACTGCTCAAACCCTGTGCACAGTGGTGGGGACCTGATGCTGTCTCCCTGTGCCCAGATCCACAGTGTGCTTTGGCTAAAGTGCCTTCAGCACATCAATAACAAGGAAGCACCTGTGGCTCAGAGGGGACTCGGGTTGTGCTTTGCCAGTCCAGCAGTGCAGAATCTTCTGCAACAGGTTCTGTGCTTTTGGTTCTTAGTAGTACTGAAGCCCAAAACCAAAGGCAAACTCTTCTTGCTCTAAATAATGCTGGGTTTGTGGATTGATTACTTGTATGTTGTTTAAGCAGTTTCTCAATTTCTTGTGCCTGCTTCACATAGATGTGTGAATTGTGTTGCGTGTCTGACCCATTTGTGAAATTCTAATATACCAAACCCACCTCCAGTTTCAAAGCTGGTTCTGATTCCTCAAGTTCCTGCTGGTTTCCGTGCACAGACTGGGTTACTGCTCTGTGACTAACCAGTGGTGCCAGTCTGGCGTGGTAGGACTCGAATTCGGAAGCTGATTGCTATAGATACAGCCTAAATATACAAGTGGGAGCTCAGAGAACTTTCCAGGGTTGCTAGCTCTGAGATTTGCAAGCTCCAGAAGCAGAGGAAGAGGCTGACAAACCCTTGAGCTCTCCGTGGCAGGTGCAGTGGGCACTGCTCTCCTCTCACTGCTCACAGTCCAGGCCACGGATGTTCATCTGGCCAGTTTAGACAAGGGGCAGAGGTGCTGGAGCAAATGAAATGCATCATGGACTAGAAGACCTTTTCAGCTGTTTCCCAGCACAGAGACAGTCTGGTATCACCTTTCCCCAGGCCCCTCTGCCCCTTATCTAAAGTGCAGGTGAGCAGCAGCTGTGAGCAGGAGTCTGGCTGAGCTGCTGGGCCATGCTGGGAGGGTCAGCCTGTTCTGGCCTGGGGCTGGGCGGGTCGGTGTGTGTTTGGAGTCAGATGTGGTACTTGGAGGTACCACTCCAATCTCGTTTTGTACTTGGACATCTAAACCGGCGTGGCCCTGAGACAGGCACTGTGTCTGTGGGAGAGGTGGCACGTGAGAGACAGGGGAGACAGGAACTTTGTAAGGACAAACACACGGCTGGGCGTGGATTCTTCCGTGGCTTCGGCGCTGCACTGGGATTGAAGTTATTTTGGTCATCCCAGTAAAAATATGCACATGCTTTGTTCTGTCGTGAGGCGTGAGAAGCTCACCTTAAAAACTGGGATTGGGAATTGAGGCACCATAATCTCCTTGCTCCAGTTTTATGGTTCTCATTATAAAATTCTATTTTCAGAATCTAATTATTTTAAATTAAAATACTTGCCATGTGCAAAGCACCTTACAGTCTCTGAGTTAGTGGACTCGAATCCCGTAAGTTCTGTGGGAGAGAGACTGGTGTCACGCCTGGTTCACGCGTGTGGGGGCTCAGGTACCATGTGCTGTTGCTTCTCCAGATGTGGAGTGATCTGGTGGGTGCAGTGGGGTGTGTGCCCAGAAGGGCCTAAGCTGTGTGTGCTCTGACCATACTTATGGCTCTGCAGGACACTGCTTAGTGCCCTTTGGTTAATGCTTTCTTCCCTTGAAGTGTCTTCACCTTGTTTTGACTCACTGTCTGAGCTGAGAATGATAAGAACTCTAAAATACTATTTTCTTCTTTAGAAAAACTGTCTAACAGGTGTATGTGATGTTCTGAATCTTTTGTTCTGTAGGTCAGTAACAGATCCACGAGATGGAAAGAGAGTTGCACTCAAAAAGATGCCCAACGTCTTCCAAAATTTGGTCTCTTGTAAAAGGGTCTTCCGGGAGTTGAAGATGTTGTGTTTTTTTAAGCATGACAATGTAAGTAAATTCAAAGTAATTCTGAAATCTTTGAGAAAACCTAAATGTGAAATGAGCTCTGCGTAACAGGAGGGTTTTCTTTGAAGTTATAGAATATCTAAAGTGCTTTAAGGGCTCTCTGACTTCACAGCTGTCAGATTTTCTGGAAACTCAGAGGCTGAATGTACAGAATATCTGACTTGGTGGGTTGTTAAATTGCCATCCCTGGTGAGACAGAACGTTGGTGTGTCTGTGGGGCAGGAGAAAGCAGAGCCCTGTGGGAGAGGTGCAGTCTGACTGTCCTTTTGGGAGGGATTTGTTTTGTTTGACCGGGATAGGCCTTGACCTTGCGGTGTTTCCTAGGTACTCTCTGCCCTCGACATCCTCCAGCCTCCACACATTGACTATTTTGAAGAAATGTATCCTAAACATAAAAATAGAACATCTTGACTGAGGTAGGTGTGATTTTCATTGGCTTGGAAGCTGCCAGTAGTTGGTGGAACCTATGGAATGGGACTACACAAACCCTGGTTTGGGTTTTTCCTTTTTCAATCATTGGGTTGTCTTCCACCTGTGAGGTTAGGAATTTCTGCTTTCTAACATGCTGAGAAGTGAGTCCTTGAGCTGGGTGGGCTCTTACTGGCTCTGGAGGGAAGAGTTTGTGCTACTCCTGTGGTTAGGCTTGGGCAGGTTGGTTTTAATTGCTGGTGGGTCTTGGCTGCCTTTTGGTGTGACCCAGTTTCCAGTTACTGGGTGGGAAAGTGTCATTATTTTTAGACAACCTGAACTTTGTGAAATATGGTTTGATCTATTTATGTACTACCTGGAGTTGGCTGGTGGAGGAAGTAGGTGTAACCACCTTGATGGTTTTGACCAAAGTGCAGAGCAATTTACTGGTGGAGAAACATAGGAGTTGGCTGAGGGTATTGTGTGCTCTCCTGGGGCTTTTCCATGTGAACTTGGATAAAACATTTAAATTTTGCTTTGATATTTCTTTCGAGTGAAGAGCACACAAGTAGCCTTCAAACCTGGATTTTGGTTGTGTGCACTAGTTCAATGCCCTCATTTAGAGCAAGTCATATGAGTTATAAATCAGATCTAGGTTGAGGATTACTCCTTCCCTGTAATTGTACAATCAAGGATATTTAAATGGGATAAGCTTTTTTTTTATGAGCTTAGCTACTGCCAAGTTTTGAACAGAAAACCAGAATGTTAGTTTCCTTCATGGCTGATTTTAAGTCATTCTGACTAGTGTTTTATAGGCCTGTCTTTTTTGTATTTGTTTTAATTTCTTGACTCTGATACTGGTAATAGAAGACTGTTTGGTTTGTGGAGTCTTCTTTCTCCCTCTGGAATACTTGCAGCCAGTGCACTTAGGACCCTAAAGTTCCTTAGGAGAGTGAACTTATCTGCACATTTTCAATTGCATGTGCTTCTGCTCACTGTAGTGTATGAGGAGTTGTGATGTCCTTTTTTAGGAAAAATATGAGAAAAGAGTGACCAGAATGACATGAGTGATGTGTTGCAAATGAGCTGGTAGAGTTTGTTTCAATTATTCAGTGCCTTGTAGGGACCAGCAGGAAGTGCAAGGTGTGTTTTGTAAAGAGAACTAATTATAAATCAACTTAAAATTTTAATGATAAATTCAGAGATTTCTTAGGAAACTGATGACAATGGAATTTCAGCCTAGTGAGATTTTTGTTTTAGAATGAAAAGTCTTTGCAGACTCTTAGATTGAGACATAATTTGAGTTTGTAATGAGATTTTAGATGGAAAATCTTGGTGAGCATTTGGAATTTTGTAGAGTTTTGCTATTTTTGCCAGTGTCACCTAGTGCAAAACTGAATATATAAGGGAGCATACACTGTTGTGTGTCTGCCATGAGCAGGTGAATGAAAATGTGGTGGTTAGTGCACGGAGCGTAATCCCTGGCAGCCAAGTCTGGCCAATGTTTTGGAGCTGCTTCCTAGGAGGACTGACCTGGCTGTACAGCACCTCAGGCACAAAGGGGAGCGGTGACTCCTGGATTTTTCTAGAGCATCTCAAAGCAGTTCATTGCAGTGAACATAACTCTTACTTTTTGGCTGAACTGGTTTGGCAGCCTTAGGTTAATGGTTGGACTCTGATCCTAAATGATTCCATGATTTATGGCTCCCTTTTTTCCAACTGCAGAACCTTCCACAGGTGATTGTAAAACTGAATTCAGCAACTGCAGATCCATGGACATTAAGAACTATCCAAAGTTTCCAGAGTAACTTTTGCAGAACTTTTCCCATTAAGGTGAATATCAGAAGCAGCTGAAAAGTCACCACTTTCACCAGTCTGTTTTGCTGACTGGGAAAGGATTTAATACCAGTAAAAACAAAGGTGTGTAGCAGTTCCTGCTGGGAGGTGAAAGAACTGTTGTGACCGATGTCAGAGCAGATCCCTGGTGTCTGCAGGGCAGTGGAGGGCAAACAGCAGCAGGATCTGGTTCCTCTGGGCAGTGCAAGGGGCAGGGCCAGCACGGGGGTCCCAGGAGTGTGTGCTCACAGCACCTCCCAGAGGGTTTCCTTGTTCCCCAAAACATCAGAGGAGTTGTGTGTGAGGCCTCAGAACTGGTTCTGAGGTGTGCAGGGACGAATGAAGAAGGGTCTGAGCCACAGTGAGAGCATCACCTCACCCAGGGCACTCGATCCCCTTCCGAAACTCGTCTGTGGCTTTACAGGATTCACCAAGGCAGCAGGTCCTGACCAGCCGAGCAGGGGAAGCTCTTTGTGCTGTGCATTTGCTTTGATAATTACTCCGAGGCAAATTGGTACATTTGTAGTTCTAATTTTATACAGCTACTTAACTAATTACTGCTGTCAGGAGCAATTTCTTCTCTGCAGTCAGGCTCAGTGGCCGCCCCACAGCCAGGGCTGGTGCTCCACGCTCAGAGGCAGCTGCAGGTAGCGGTGGGAGTGGGGCTGGCATCCCCTTGGGGGTGTTTGGTGGTGCCAGAAGTCCCAGCTGGAGCCGTGGGCAGCAGGGTGAGTGGGCACTGCACCCTGAGCCCCACTGCCCTCCCAGACAGTGCGGTGATCGCCGCGCCCGCGGCACCTCTGAGCCCATCAGGGGCTTGACTTAATGCGCCCAGACCTGGAGTGGTGCAGGTGCCATTTCAGGCCCTCATTTAATTTAAGCTGCTTTAGTTGGCATGGCAACTAGTGGAGACATCTGGGAGACATTATGCTCGGGATTGAGATTTAGGAGGATTTGCGGCGTAGCAAAACAAAAATCTTATCATCATAAAGTGCAGAGTAATGCTTTCGGGGGCTTTAAAATGCTTTGCATTAAATTGAATGTACAGATTTGTTGCAGCTATAAGGTAAACCCCAAATTTTAAAAGCCTGGTATAAATATTTAAGAGGGTCTTTGCTAAAGGAGAAGAAAAATTAGAGGACTGCAAATTACGGTGCTCCAGGCTTGGGTTTTTTCTTTATGAATTCTTCATGAATGCAATTAAGGAAATTTTTTTTGCTCAAAAAGTTGGCAATATTTAATTTATAAAATGCATTTCTGTGTGGTGTGCTGGTGGCAGATGAGCTGTTTGGCCCGTGGGGATTTGGCTGGAGAGGGTTTGCAGAGCAACAGATGGAAGTGGAACATAGGATGAAAGGAAATGTGAGTTTTCTCTAGGTTGGTCTAGGTGTGACCTGACCTGTGCCAGTTATTTGGGGTAAAGTAGGAACAAGCCCAGGTCCCTGCTGGAGCTGCCTTGCTCGTGGTGTTGGCAGGGGGGAAGGGTTGTCACTGGAGTCAGGGATTTGTTGTGTCTCAGCCTGGTTATAGGGAGGTTGACACTAAACAGGCCCCAGCTCCCTGGGCTGGGGGTTGGCAGGCTCAGGGTCAGAGGGATCACAAAGGTGCTGGAGCTGGTGCCTGGCACAGGCAGAGCACAGGGAGAACAGACCTGTGTCCCTTCCCCACGCACAGCAACCCCTGGTTCATCCCACAGAGTCCCTCACAGCCCAGAGCGGCTCCACCTGGGCCTGGGGCTGAACCTGCTGCTCCGGGGGAGGTGCAGGTTGATTTCTAGCTCTCTCCTTGATCTTCGTGTGACCTTGGCAGTCTGCACTGCCTCTGTGGCGTGTCCTGTCTGGTTCAAAGGTGGCAGGGCTTGGTATGGTGCTCCACACCTGGCACAGGCAGCTCAGGGAGGCATTCAAAGGTGTTTCACCTACTTCAGCCACCAGCGTAATCCTGTGTGACATTTAGTTTCAAATGTGTCTGCTAAACATAGATTTCAAAGCTTTGTTTCTTAATTAGCAAGCTGCTTTATTGTGAGAGTTGAAAGCTCTCATTGCTAGTTATGTCCCTCTTGCCAGTCGAGGTGCTGGGCCTGGCTCTGAGCTCCATCCCGAGCCACAGCTCCGAGGCCAAACCTTCCTTTGCTGCTGCTTTTATTCTGTTTTCTGAGTTGTAATTGGGCTCTGAATTAAATTTGTAACAACTACATTAATCAAACACTGTCATTGCCTAATCCGTTTTCCTTCACAACCTGTTTTATGTTTTAATTCTTGTAAGAGTCTGCAGACTTGACCTCTGAAACAGCTTTATGCTCTTTAACTCCATAGTTGTAAGAGCTAAGTAGAGTTAACGTTCACAAGATTTTGTGCTGGATGTTCTGCCTTTCCTTAACCCACACACTGAAGATATGTTGTCACTGAGTTGATGCAGAGTGACCTCCATAAGATTATCGTCTCTCCTCAGCCACTCAGCTCGGATCATGTAAAAGTTTTTCTTTACCAGATTTTAAGAGGTAATTTTTCTTCTTGTAAACTTAATGACAGTTATGTAGTAGTAATATTTTTCCTGTTTCTTAATGTTTGTTCTCAGGACATTCTCATCTTGGATGAGTTTCCTGTGTAAACTTGTGGCTTTAGTTCCATGTTTGAATACGTAGCAGGCATGACTTAGGGTAGCTGTGGGGGCACAGCAGCCCTACTGCCCTCCAGCAGGGCAGGGACAGGAGTCCTGCTCGTGGGCACAGAGAGGACACCTGAACTGAGCCAAGCTGGGAAATATGTGTAACTGTACCCACTTGGGTTGAGAACTGTGACTGATAAACAGAGCAGTAAGAGGAGTGTGCCCAAGTCCCAGCATGGGGGTTAGCAGAGTATTCACACCATAACCAGGGGACAATGTTTTACTTCTGATTTGTTGAGAGTTTCCTTGGGGAGTGTTTTGTTTGGGTTTTTTTAAGACTGCTTAAATTCCTTGCTCTGTCTAGTTTATGTACTCCAGAAGTTTTGCCCTGTCCTTGAGTGTGCACTGGAGAGTGGAAGGAAGACTTGTATAACAATTGAGCCACAGGCAAAGTCTTTGCTAACCAGGAGTTGCTAAACCTTCCAGGAAAATGTTGTCAGCCTGAAACTGCTTATAAAGGGGGAAAAAAAGTACTTATTTTAGTTTTGTTTGATATTTCAGGTCTGAAGTACCTACATTCTGCTGGCATTTTACATCGAGACATTAAACCAGGGAACCTACTCGTGAACAGCAACTGTGTCCTTAAGGTGCTGCTCACATTCAGTGGCATGTCCGTGTGTCTGTCTGGTCTTAGGAAGCAGTTCTTACTTTTTAAGCAAAAAACATTCAATAGAACACTTTCCCTTTTCATATTAAAATGAAATTTACCTTTCCGTTTACATTATAAAAGGGAAAAAATTCCACAGATTCTTTGCAAATTGTACCTGCCCTCAGTGTCAGGTTGTTCCTGGGGTGCCTCAGTGTCCGTGTGGTCCTCAGAGGACGATGACACTGAATGCCCAGGACACTTCCATTGACCTCTTGTGCCTCTGCCTAGGTGTGTTGTGCAGCTCTGCTGGATGTTTAACAATCAGTGTTACTTACAGCGCTTTGCCAAGTATTCTGATTGGGAAAGTTTTGGTCTCTTTCCTTAACCCTTCTGGTTCAGGAAAGTTGTAACATTCCCTCAGGCCAAAGGGGCCGAATCTTTCCCAGCTGGAGGCATATCATGAAGATTTGGTTGGTTGGAGTGCTCTGTACCCAGAGGGTGGCAATGTGTTGTTGGTTTTTTGTGGTGCAGAGCTTCTACTCTTTTACATTATCAATTTTGTCGTGCCGACTTCTGATGTGCTGTGATTTCAATTCAGACTGTACAAAGTGTAAATGGCTGTGGGGTAAAGTGGCATAATTTCTGCTCTCCCCTGTCCCTGGCTGGGGCACTCACAGCAGATTGTGGCTGTGCCTGAGTGCTCTCGGGGGTTCCCTGCCTCGCTCCCACGAGGCTGCCTATTGGAAACGCAGAAGGTGTTTTGGTTATTTTAATTGTTTTATTTGCCTTCTCAATTTAGATTTGTGATTTTGGATTGGCCAGGGTGGAAGAGCTAGACGAATCGCGGCACATGACTCAGGAAGTTGTCACTCAGTATTACCGCGCGCCGGAGATCCTGATGGGCAGCAGGCACTACAGCAACGCCATCGACATCTGGTCTGTTGGCTGCATCTTTGCAGAGTTGCTTGGGCGAAGGATATTGTTCCAGGCACAGAGTCCCATTCAGCAGGTATCATTCCTTTCCCTGTCAACACTTTCCACCGCGTTATCTCCTGGAATCAGTTGCGCTGATGCACTTCAGGGCAGATTCTGAGGGGCTGGAGCGAGTTTGGCAGTGAAGCTGGTGCAGGGTCTCAAGTGTGAATCATCTGAGGAGCAGCTGAGGGAGCTGTGGGGCTTAGCCTGGAGGAAAGGAGGCTCAGGGGAAACTTCTGCTCTCTGCAACTCCCCAACAGGAGGTGCAGCCAGGTGGGCTCAGGCTCTGCTCCCAGGGAACAGCAGAGGACAGAACAAGAGACAACAGCCTCAGGCTGTGCCAGGGGAGGCTCAAGTTTTACATCAGAAGGAATTTCTTCATGGAAAGGGCTGACAGGCATTGGAAGGGGCTGCCCAGGGAGGAGGTGGAGTCAGCACACCTGGAGGTGTCCAAGGAACAACTGGACATGGCACTCAGTCCTCTGGTCTTGCTGACAGAGCGGTGATGGGTCATAGGTTGGGCTCTGACCTCAGAGGTCTTTTCCGACCTAAACGATTCTGTGATTTTGAGCCTCAAACTTGCTTTTGTTTTGCTTGGTTTACACACAGGCAAAACCCAAGCTGCTCTGGGACACTGAGGTGAGAGTTTGCAGACAGTGTTTGAAGCTGTGGTGGTTAGTGGTCACTTTGGAGGATGTGGGGTTGTGTTACCCTGTAATTTGCTGAGTGCCAGAGCCACTGTGGCACTGTGTTGAGATAAGGTAATGGTGATGTAGCATCAAGCTTCTTGTAACGTCTGGTAGGAGCAAGTGGTGAGCTTTGTCTCAGGATATAACTGGAGGTACAGTCTTGGCACTTGAGCTATTTCCAGTGCCAGTCAGCAGGGTGGATCAGCCTGGCAGTGTTGGCAGCACTGCTCAGGCTGCTGCATTTGAATACCAGGCAAGTGTGGAAGAGGGTATTGAATGGTTTCAGGTTGTACAGCTGGGGCTATTCCAACAGTAGCAAGCTAATATAGTGCTCTTACACCTCCAGTCATCCTGAAGTGATATTTTTTCAGTCGATAGAAAATGTCTGCAGGAAGATACTAGAGATGGATGCATTTATACTCCTGTCCGAGAGGAGGAATGAGATGTGCTGACATCAAAATGTGTATCTTCAATGTTGCTAGTATTCATCTACAGATTAGAAGTTACATAGCATAAAAACTGTGAGATTAGCTATATTGATCCACTAAAAGTGTACACTAGTATTTGCCATTTTCTGCCAGTAAAAGGAGTGGGTTTGATCCATACCCGGAATGGGATTTATGTGAGCTTAGGAGGCTGCTGAGGTGTGCTGGGAGATGTGTGGGCTCTCAGCTGTGTGTTCTGTCCCCACAGCTGGATCTGATCACAGACCTGCTGGGCACGCCGTCGCTGGAGGCGATGAGGACGGCTTGTGAAGGCGCCAAGGCACATATACTCAGGGGTCCTCATAAACAGGTAGGGCTGGGGGTGCTGGGCTCCCTTCCCCTGGCCCGTTGGGTGTTCAGTCTCAGAGCTGTCCCTGCCTGCACACAGCTTCAATGTGCCACTGGAGCTTGTGGTGCTGCAGTGGTGTCGCTGGTCAAACTGCTGTGTTCTCTAGTGAAGTGTCTTCTGCCTTCTGCCTTGGATGCATTGTTTGGCTTGATACGGGTGAAATCTCCCTTTCTGCAGTGACAGTGCTTTGATAGCTGTTTTGAATGAGAATGTTCAATTTAAGTGATAATATTGGCGAGAGACATAAATTAAAATTGACAGCATAATTCAGAAAGCCCTGGAGGCTCCTGCACTGCAGGATCAGGAGTGTCAGGGGTGGAACTCACCCACTGCCCAGAGCCAGGGCACCTTGTACCCAGAGGGTCAGAGCTGTGCAGTGAGCTGAGCTTCCTGGGAAGGGCTCAGCAAGAGACAGAGCTGAGATACAGCACCAGCCCAACTGAGCTAGGAGTTAATGAACGAGAAGACAACAAACAGACCAGGGAAGGGAGGCAGGAATGAATGAGAAGACAACAAACAGACCAGAGAGGGGAGGCAGGAATGAATGAGAAGACAACAAACAGACCAGAGAGGGGAGGCAGGAATGAATGAGAAGACAACAAACAGACCAGAGAAGGGGGGCAGGACAGTGTCGTTGTGCTGACTGGGCAGGACGAGGGGCAGTGCAGTGTCCTGTTAACAGATGCAAGGAAAGGCTTGTGCAGACATCCCTGGTGCAGGGGTGGAGTTGTGCCCATCCAGTACAGTCACTTTTATGGTTGTTGGTAAAAATTAACAGAATTATTGACCTGTACATGTTAATAGATCAGCTCTTTCCAGTAGTTAAGTTTGCACCTTTGTTTTCTGTCTGTTGAAGTAATTTCTCACGTGTCTGCTCACCACAATAGTAGTTACCATAGAAATGAGTGTTGCATGTATGTTCTGCTCTGTTATTGACATGTGGGAGTTCTGCCTCCTTGGCACTTTGGATTCACCACATCGAGGTGTCTCTATTCCCTTTCATGACAGGATTTTTTCCTCTGAGCGCTAATAACAGGAGGATTTCCTTGTGACTTTCTCTACCAGTTTTGAAACAAATCAAGTAGATTTTTCTGGTCTCATGTGCTGGGAGAGCTGTGACTCTGAAACCTAATGTCTCATGACCCACAGAATGGTGGGAATACTGAAAAGCAAGTGAGGTGAAATGGTACAAAAAGTTTCCACTACAGATTTAATGTCATGTAGCCATGAAGTTGTAGGAAATACACTAACAGTTACTTCTGTATCTGTTGGGGAAAACAACGTTCCTTTTCCATGGGGAGCCATGGGAGCTGAGCAGTCTGCAGAGCTGGTGTGCTCAGTGTCCCCTGGCACCAGAGGATGCAGAGCAGCCAGGTGGTTACTGGTATATCCCTGGTTTCAGGTCAGGTTTGGATGCAAATTCCTGGTTTTTCCTATTCAGAAATGGAGGTTTTGCTGGTTATAAAGAGTTAACTGTTACCAGTTTCTTAATTTGATTAATAGGGAGAGAAACCCAAGTTGGAAATGGGCGATTACTCTGTCACACCACCTATTTTTACTCGCCGTAGGTGAGCGCAGTGGGAGGGGAGGGCGAAGCATTTCGCTGCTTCGTGTAAAAATAGATTAATGCGTGAAGTTTCTGATGAGAGCCCCCACCCCACTGTGCTGGATGGGTGGGCATTTCCAGACTCCATGGAGCTGTACTGCAGGCCCAGCCCCGGTGAGCTGATGGAGCTCTGGAGCTGTGCCGCTGCCCAAAGGGAATGTGCTGCATCCATCCCCTGCCCTCTCTGCTGTGGGGAGAGTGAGCCAGGAGGAGGATGCCCCTTCCTTGTTGGCAGACCTGGCTGCTGATCCCATGGCAGTCAGATCCTACTGCAGTTCCCTTTCCCAACGCTCTCTCAGGACTGCTGCTGAGCTCTGGGCTCCCTGCTGCTGAGCTCTGGGCTCCATGGTGCTGAGCTCTGAGCTCCATGGTGCTGAGCTCTGGGCTCCGTGCTGCTGAGCTCTGGGTACCATGGTGCTGAGCTCTGGGCTCCCTGGTGCTGAGCTCTGGGCAACATGGTACTGGCTGGCAAGGGCTGTCCCCAAGAGCTGTATCTAACCAGAGGCTCCTGGGACAGCAGGACAAGGTGCTGACAAGCCATAAGTGTAGCCAAAACAAAGAGCATCCTTCATTTGTATGGCATAGGTGAGGTATGGAGTAATATTTTTCTGCCCTGGTGTGTGGATGAAACCTGTGTAATCACAGTGCCTAGACCACAGTGCTCTTTTGTGTAGGTGATACTTATTGGATAGAAAAATCAGATAAGTTACCAAATACTGCAGCTTTATATTTCGTAGGCTGTCCTGGGAAACCAAGGCCAGGAAGTGCTCAGGGCTGTGTGATGGTTCAGGGTTAACTTAGGCTGATGTCACTGTGGAGGTGTAATTCTTATTTATACTGGCAAATCGACAGCAACATCCATGACAGCCCTTCTGTCACTGCCAGTCAGCTGTGGACTGCCTGGGCAAGGAAAATCCACAGTTTGGGAGTGATGAAGGTCATAAAAACGAACCACTGGGAGTGCTGGGGTTAACCAAAGCACTGAGCAGCCAGCTGGGAGTGGTGTCTGTCCAGAGGAATATCTAAATAACATGCAGTTTGTCCAGGGATTACGTCTGACCTGAGGGAAAGAATGATCCATTGGGTCTGTGTTCCAGTTGCTGAGCTCTGTGCTGGTGATGATTGTCAGGCTGGAGACCGTTAGGCACTGCATGTCCTCTTTAACAGGGAGCTTGTCCTTGGTGGCTGTGGAATAGTGTGTGCTGGAACAGGGTTTTCTTGCTGATGGATCTGACAGGACACTCTGTGCTTCTCTTCCTCCCATTCCCCCTACAGCCATCCCTTCCTGTCCTATATACACTCTCCAGTCAAGCTACACATGAAGCAGTTCATCTCCTTTGCAGGATGTTGGTCTTTGATCCAGTAAGTATGACTGAAAATTATCACTAATGCTTCTGGTTTCAGCAGGTCTCATTGTCAGGTACTTAAATGAGTGTTTTAAGTCAAGGACTGCTTGAGCTGGTTTCCTTCTGCATGGCATTGCAGTACTTTTGATCTGTAAAAGCCTTAAAAATACCATCTCCTAATTGGCCAATTAATTCCCCGGGCATGGGGGTTTCACATTTCAAACGAGTGGTCCTGCGAAGGAAGCTGCACAGTGCGAGGGCTGAGGGTGTGCATGACTCATGCTCTTTTCCGAGCTGGGTGTAGGTAGCAGAACATCAGCTACTCTGATGCAGTTCTAATTAGGGACACGGGGGTGTTCCTGGTCTTGCAGCACACAAAAAATTCCTCCTGCATCCCCAGGCACAGAACAGGAGCATTTTCCCACCGTGCATCTGTTTTTCTAATAAAAATGTGCTGCTGTGGATTGCGGAGTTCATCTCTTGGGACACTTCAGAATTGACACTAGAAAATCTGGTACTGGAATCAATAATCCTAATAATTTCTCACTGAACCCCCAACATTGCAAATGAAGGGCAGAGTGACTGGAGAGCAAAGGAGGAGGCTGAGAGCTGGGGAGGCTCTCCAGCACTGCCTTTGGAGTCTGTGTTTTAAACCCTGGGATTGCTTTGCTGAACAGAACCGTGTTACATTAAATAACTTGTTAACGTAACAAATCCAGTTATGTTAAATCATAACTTCCACACAAAACACTTGAGATGTTTTCCTTTCTGACTCCTCAGCATTTAGGATGTTGTTCTTCCCTGCTTGTTTGGATTCGTGTAGGAGTCGTAGTTGTAAGGCTGTCTGGGGAAATAGCTACTGAAAAACATAATTCTGAAAACCGTATTAGCAGCCTCTTCCATCCTGGGCTGGGGCAGGGCAGTGTCCTGGAGCCAGGCTCTGGTTTCTGAGCCTCAGCTCCCCTCTAGTGGCAGTGCCTGCAGCTCAGAGAAACTCCAGCATGATCCGATCCTCAGCAGGGCGAGGGGTTATAAAACAATCGAGAGCTCCTCGATGAGTAAGTGTTCTTCAGGCTGTTCCCATGCCTCTGCAAACATCCTAACTCTTCACTTTTATTTTCCCTTCCTCCAATGCCTTTCCCAGTCCAAAAGGATATCTGCTAAGGATGCCTTAGCTCACCCATATCTGGACGAGGGGCGGTTGCGATACCACACCTGTATGTGTAAATGTTGTTTTTCCACATCCACTGGAAGAGTTTATACGAGTGATTTTGAACCCATCACTAATCCCAAATTCGACGACACTTTCGAGAAGAACCTCAGTTCTGTTCGGCAGGTTAAAGGTGAGTGGGAGCTAACCTTGTGCACAGCTCCTCTCCTGCCCTGCCCTGGGGCTGCACACTCACCCCAGTGCTGGTCCCTTGTCCGTGTTCTTCCATGGTAGACACCGGAGATCATTTCGCCGAAAGAGCAGAGTGGTAGATGTTGTGACACAGCAGTGTCACAAGCAGGAGCTTGTGTGCAGGAGCCTGTGGGTCTCAGACCTGGCCAGCACTTGTCCCTGGCGCCCTGTTCCCTGTTCCTTCCCTGGAGGGTGGCCCTGGGGCAAGGGGAGTCTCTGTGGTGGCTTTGTTGGGATGCAAGGTGTGACCTCAAGAGCTGTCCCCCGCGGAGGGGCAGCAGAGTCAGGGCTGCAGCTGAGGGTCAGAGCAGCTGAAGCTCTTTTGTCCTCACTCAGGTCCACTCTCTGTAAGGGAAGCTGTTTTGCCCTCCAGTCTACATTGCATTCTGCTAAGCCAGAAGTGTTAATGCTGTGCTGTGTTTTTCTCCTGTGTACAGAAATAATTCATCAGTTCATTCTGGAACAGCAGAAAGGAAACAGAGTGCCTCTCTGCATCAACCCTCAGTCTGCTGCTTTTAAGAGCTTTATTAGGTAACTGTATGTAATCACATCTGGTACTAATTCCCATTTATTAGTAGTACACAATTGGCACATCCAGAATACTTTAGGGTTGCGGTTTCGGAGAGTGGCAGAGGCACAGCAATAAAACCCTTGCAAACCACTTCCATGAGGTCTAGACTTTAAGTAAAATGTGCAGGAGCCTCACGTGGTGTTTGTGTGTGTGCAAGCAGAGGTCAGGCAGAGATGGGAATGGGAGGGATCTCGGGCTGAGTGTGGGGTGTGCGTGGCCCTGTGGAGGCTTTGGAGGCCGTGGGGACTGTTGGTGCCTGTTGCTGTGGGTTGGCTGGGGCTGTTGTCACACCGCGCCGAGCGCGTCCGTCCGTCAGCCGTGGCCAATGAACACTGATTTTCTGTGTCTCCTGCCCTGCAGTTCCACGGTCGCTCAGCCCTCCGAGATGCCGCCGTCTCCACTGGTGTGGGAGTGACCTGCAGGACGATGTACTACTGAAGATGTAATGTAGCTTTCCACTGGAGTCTGGGATTTGCAATTCTGGAGGTTAATCATGCTTGTACTGTAATTTTACTAATGAAGTTTTAAATTAACAACCACTACTTGTACAATATGAATAATATTTAGAAATGTACTAGACTTTTAATCTTGTAAAGTGGTTGTGCTTTTAGAAGAAAATATTTTACCCAGAGTTGCACGTGTTTTATGAATTCTAGTGCAGCTGTGATGGCTCAGCTCAGAACAAACAGAATTGAACCAAATTCGGGGAGGTTTTTTCTTTTTTTTTTCCCCTTTTTTTTCCTTTTTTTTTTTAATTGAAGTGAGACTGTACAAACAGATAGACATTTTGATATTGAGCCATTCCTGGAGATTTTGGGTTTTCTAAAACTAAGGAATACAGAAAACTTGAGTGCGACCAATCGTGAAGTCCCACGGGGTGCCTGACCACGGGAAGTGGCCACGGCCCTGGTGCCCAAACCCTATAAATAGCTTCTCACTAGAGCTGTGATGGTGATGTGTGCTGTTCTAAAATCAGATGTTGTGAGTAGAGAGAATGAGTTTGTGACTAGGAGAGACTAAACTTCTGTTTCCTTACCC